GTGCGCATGCACTCGAGCACCACTCTCAAATGGACGATGTGGTTTTCCTCATCTGTCCCCCGTGCCCCCACGACTGTGGACGAAGATGTCGTCGAAGTATGTCTGTGCATACGCCCGATGGGGGCTAAACAAATGCATCACAAGACGATATAATGCTGCTGGTGCATTTGACAGCCCTTGGGGCATCACAAGACACCCCGGAGCATCTCGCTCGGAGTACTCACCGCTGTCAGCGAAATATCGCTCGCTCTCACGAGCAATCGGTAAGAACCATCGACCAAGTCGAGTGCGCTATACTTTATACGCCAACCATATTGTTCTGGAGAGCTTTTTATTAGGAATCGGCGTCTGTGCCGGAATGGTGGTATGGTTGAGCTTATTGTAAGCGTGAACAATACGTCACTTGCCGTTCGGCTTCCGGACACAAGACGTGGGTGTCGAATGGGGAGACTTGCTCTCACGCACGATTCCTGCCTTGTGCTTTGCACGGAAAAAGACGACAATGACGTCACAGTGCTTCTTGGATAGCGTATTACGCAGTATTTGGCTCCCGGAACCAGGTCAATTTCATGACGCACACCTTAGGACCGACGGCGGGTCTTTGGAGACAACGACTTGAAATTTCTTCACCAAAGGGGAGTACTGATCCGAGGGATCCTTCGGGATCGAAAATTTACTTTGTACGTTTAGCACCTTCTTGGTGTCTTCCAAGACAGCTTCACCCAGAAGCGACGGCGAATTAATCTCATCTTTTGGTCTTATAGTGACCACTAAGTTGCCTGCCTTCAAGGCACCGCCAAAATCTTCGAAGGACATCTCGTCCAGCTCGAGAAAATCATCAACCGCGGGAATAACTAGAGGGCGACGTCGCCGTCTACTTCTCATGTCGTCCCGTTGACAAGGGTATATAGCTGTGCGCTATCGTCTACATTAGACACACCCTGGGTCAGCGTCGACGCCCTGCGTCTTGCAGATAACATACGGCTTCGCCGTCTCCTCTTTATAGAGGTTTAACGTCTCATCGAGACCAGTGGGAACACGCACTCGGGTCGTCCAGTATTACTACTCCCTGCTCCATCGGAGCCTTAATATTTTTAACAACATCCGACCAAGAGCTGCTATTTTTGCAGCCTCCGTTCAGTGGATAACGTGCCACCCCACGCGCATCAGAAAGGTCTTGCCCAGAATGCCCCGGACCTCGTCCGACCATGCTCTTGGCATGCAGCAACTGCTTCGTAACGTGAGCAGTGCTCAATGGATTACGTGCCACTCCGCTCGCATCACAAGGGCCTCGCCGTTGATGCCTCGGATCAACAAGATAGCTGCTCAAGTATCGGATCAGTCGCTGCATGCCAAGAATGGCATGATCGGCCAAGGGCCGGGGCATCAAGGACAAGGCCCTTGTGATACACGTGGAGTGGCACGCAACCCACTGAGCAGTGCTCACGTTACGAAGCAGTTGCTACATGCCACTTCGCCTTTAGCCCGCAATCCACGTTCGGGACTCCTGTCAAAAGCACCCTTGGTGTTTGACAATTCGAATACTTCGATATCCATCACATTGACCGTCCCAGTCTAGTGCCCGCACCAATAGCGCTTTTGCTTCATAGCATAGGTGGGTTCATGACTCACCAAAGCTCCAAAAGAAGACGTGCGCATAGTACTAAGGTCTTCGACCTCCAAGTCAATCCGTGGCTCATGGAGTTCCAACTATGCCATACCAAGGTTAAGGTCATATCTTGCATCCAAGTCTAAGACTAAGCAGCGTTCCACGCTATCAACATCAAGAAACTTGACACCGAGGTACAGTGGTACAGTGACACAAGTCCCTGTTGCTAACCGAATAGTGACGGTGTCACTTAATCGCACTTCTAGCGCCTCAGCATACAGCTGACTTCTTTCGATCGTGGTGTGTCGAGTATGATTGCCCGACGCCCCGGAATCGATTAGGATCTTCATGGCTTCTCAAAGCCCTTCACGGTCGCTTTTACGACCAGCAAGCCCAGCTTGCAGCACGATCGGCGTTCAAGAGCACGGAGCTCTTCGGGGATGGTCCTTGCTACCCTCTACCACTTTGAGGCACAACACACGACTATCATATCTGTATTTGACATCTTTAATGCCTCCGCATACCGTCCACTGCTTTCGACCTCCGCGCGCCGCACGTAATTGCACGACGCTCCTCGACTTAGCGCGGCTTCAAAGACCGAGACGTTAGTATCAACAGTCAACAACCCTGGCGGTGACCCTTACTCCTCTCTTAGGAAGGATTGATCCATTGACCACGCCCTTGACGAGCTTATGTAGAGTCCGCATCTTCTCAAGTAGATCGAACTGCGCTCCCCGGGCTTGACGTTTCTCTTCAATGGGATTTGACGACTTTGCGTAGAAACTCGACCCTTTGCATCTTTTAGCCGAGAGTGAAGAGAACACGGTAATGGGAAGTGATCTGTACTGCCACAAAATAAACATCTACGAGTACCGCAGAAATTACAGTCCTTCACTACTAAGTCGTGGGTTGACTACAAGAGCTATCAAGTGCAACGGGGTTGCTGTACACTTTGCAAAGTAAAAAGCTTTGACTCCCAGAATATATGTTAACGAACGCACAAGGGTTGGTTTCGTGTGATATAACACCGAACCGAGATCTTCTCAAGAAACGGGCACTTGTCATCTCATTCTGCTATTACAATGGTATAAATTTACGTGTGATTCTATTGAGAATAATACTACAAGTCATCGTTCGTGTACTTGAGCTACTGTTTATGTCTTGTGCACCCACCACATTTCTCCTCTCATCTTCATACATATCGGTATCAGTACTTACAATTTTGTGGATGCCGTTCCCTACGTGGACCACAAATTGCAAAAAGTTGTGTATTTCAGCCCAATGATCAAAGATGACACCGCATCTTCTTTTGCAACAATTATGGCAGATTCAACCCTGTCGTGCCCCGTGTGCTTTGAGTCTTACTCTCCTACTGAAGGATCAGCTTTTGCACTACATGTTTCTTCCTGCACGCGCTCTTCTCTCTCGCCTCTTGGATCTCCTTCGTCTTCGTTAGCACATTGTCCACTTTGTCTATACGTTTATACGGCTGGGACCCCAGCGCACGAAATCTCGTTCCATGAACACGAATGTGCACGTGTGAATGATTTACCAGACGATGGGAGTGATGATGGATCGACATCTACTGCTGCAAGTCGAAATAACAAGCGACAGCGAAACGAGGCGGTTGCGCGCGCAAAGTCAGTGCCAAGCGTAACCCTCTTTCCTTCCACCTGTTTTCTCTGCGGAAATGGCGGTCGTGGACTGCTTCATTGTCGTGGTAATTGTGCGCGTGCTGCTCATCAACACTGTGTGGATCAATTACAGGCGCCAATTGTTGGAGATCCATTATCCGTCTCCGAGCGTAGGCAAGCAGCTGATAAATGGAAATGTGCGCAGTGTGTGAGAGGTTTACATCGCTGTCAACACTGTGGCTTTCTAGGACACGAAGCTAATGGTATGCGTAAATGTACCGTAGTCAACTGTGGGTACCACTTTCACGCACACTGTCTACCTGAAGCAACGGCAGCAGACTTCGTGTGTTCACGCCACATATGCATGACGTGTGGTACTCAGGAGACAAACATGAAGCGATGCAAGAGCTGCTCATTATGTGATCACATGACGCACTTGCACTGTCCAAACGAAAGTGGTGCCACGGTGACTGATTTGACAGGACTGGATCCAATTCATCTCTTTAAGTGTCCTAGGCACGACACAGAGACTTTAACATATCCAACTGACAGCTTTGATGCTACTAATTCTCTCAGAAAGAGACTTGCAGCAGGTGATGTGGTTCTCGTGCTTGAATTTAAAAATGCGTTATTGCCGTTGAGTGCGAAGGCAGCGGCCCCTGATGCTGCAAATCATTGGGGCGTTGTTGTTTCAGCAGAGCAGACAGAGCCACATGGACGTGGTAATCAGCTACTGAGTGTGCGCATGTTTGCAGATGACAATATTATCATTGTACCCAACCAGTACGCACTGCGTGTCGCTTTGACAACGGATTTTTCTCGACCTGTAGACCTCATTCGCCACTGTTTGCAGCGTCATGCGATGGTGGAACTTCAGCTGCGTCACATGGAAGGCGATCTCGATCAGGATGAAGAGAAACGTATTCTGAGCGTCAGTAGGGCAGCATTCGCTGCTCGTCTGAAAGCATTTCGTGTGACTGCAGCTCAGGCAACAAGTGACACGGAGCAAGGTCTAGCACTCTGGCGTCGGTTTCAGGAACTTCCACAACCGCGTCAGTATGACGGTTCTGGAACCTCCGCACCCAGCTTTTTGTTCATTGACACCCGTGGACGTTGCTATGCACAGCAAGATGCTGCAAGTAGACGAGGTTTAGAAGAAGTGATAGTAGATGTTGATGAAGATGTGACCATGGCAGATCATGAGAAAGTTGACAGTGCCATAAATGGCATTGTTCATGGATCTCCGCATATTTTTGCCTCATCTATACCGACAGATGGTGAAAAGAACCCGCATGAGAACAAATCTATGATCTCTATGGAAAAGAGCACGGTAAATCATGATGGGGCAATATCACCGCCGCAGACCTGCAACCAGGATGCAATTATTGCAGACAGAAAAGTTCACAAGCATGACAGAAAGGGATCGTATCAAGATAAACATACTTCGACTACAGTCTCAATTATCAGTCAGGATATTTCTGCCCATATCCGTACTATGAGCAATCAGGCGAGTGTTTGTGTCGTGAATAGTACGAAACGGACAGTAAATTGTGATAACAGCATTGATGCGAAGCGTCAAAGGACCAACTTAAACATCTCTCCAGGATTGAAGGTACCAATTTTAATGCCCATCCAATTCAATAAACTGCAACCTGGAGCTACTTTGAATTGTGCATCTGTACCTGCCACGCTACACGTCTCGCCCATGGCATCGCGTGCAATTCTTCCGCCAAAACGGAAACCGATGACCCGAAAACAAAAAGTGCTGGCTGATATGCCTCCGTTGTTGCTAAAAGAGTTGGAGCGGGAAGCGTGGCGTTATCTGGAGACTGCTGACAGATCAGTACGGAAACCGACACGAATTCCAGCTGATGGTGATGCGTTTCCGTGGGCCGCTCGAGCTGCTAATTTATGCCCTGCTTTTTATAGACCCACTGTAATGCTGGGACATAGTGGAATTCGTCGAGCCGGCGTGGATGCAGTCAGTCGCTTGCTGGTCAGTCAGGACAAGCGCAGTATCAAGTGTTTCGTGCAGACTACAGAGAACGGCGTTGATATGACCCAGTGCTCTCATGTGACTCCAGTCAAATCATCCTCTGCATCTCCAGGCTTCGTGCTATTGGATCTGATGACTTTGCACAGCTTTCGTGATTTGGAGTTAGTGATTCGTTCTCGTCTCGTGGAAGCTCTAAGAATTCAGTCTCGCTACACTCGCAACCACTTTGGCATGGACGTGCATCAGGCGCAGTGTTGGCTTGAGCGGCAGCGTCGTCGTAAGGTCAGTGAACAGCCTCCCGTATCTTTGTCCTATTGTACAATGAGTGGTAGGACGTACCAACTTAATATGAAGCAATCCTCGCTCAAGCAATCTATCAAGGACAAACAGGCATGGGTTTGTTTTTGTGCGAATGTGTGTCATCTCTCTGTATCCATCGGTGTCCCCGGTATGTCTCGTGCAGGGTCGAAGCCAAATGCATCCGTAGCCCAGCACGTTTTCGGCACTGTTAAGTAAGATAGTGAGATCGAAAAGAATAACGACTAACAGGCGAATGAACGACAGCTCTTTACTAATGGTAAAAAAAATACAAGTATCTCATCCTCAATCCTTCGAGCCTTCAATAAGCTACTTGATCCAATTGCCAGACTTAACGTTCTCGAATACTTTCTTCACATCGTTATGCTCTTAAATACTTCGCATTCCACTCGCGAGCAAACTGGTAGTCGCCCGCTGAACAGCAAAAGCTACGAAGTTCTTGGCACATGACGGCAATCGGAAACACGATATTCGTCTCGCCCATGCCTCCTTGTGTGAATGTCGCACCGCTCTGCGCGACGTAAGAGGTTCTCTGGATGCAACCAATTGCATCAATCACATCATCGACTTCATCACAATAATCTGTCTGGCCGTCTTCTGTGGTGTTATGCCTATTGTGCACTGAATTACGTGCTAACCTGCGAGCACCTTAACAAATGACGTTCTTCGTTAATGTCCACACCAACGGACTGTCGTAGCGTCAAACACGTATCGAGCCAATTTGCAAGTTATGCCCATAAACACTAGTACCAGGAGCCACATTTGCCAAACGACAAAAGTGGACGGCTACTGCTTTGAGTTCAAGCAATGCGCCTCCTTCAATCTAACCTGATACTGTAGTTTATAGCAAAAGTCTTTTGGCAATCGCCAAAAAAATCTTACTCAGCGTGCCATCGTATGGAGGTGTAACCGCAGATATTATGTCCAGAAACAGATTGTACTTGTCCTATCGACATCTCATGCACCGACGGCACGGCACTATTGGTTCCAGAGCTACCTGATCACCAATTGTCGAAGAGTTGAAACCCTAGGAATCCCTTTTGTTGCTTGAACACAATAATTGAACTGACGCAACAGCCAGATAACATCACTTTGTGACACCAGTCTGTTTAGCCCTTACTTCTTGTATCTTGATCCATCCAGACGCTAGCACCGCTTCGCACTTGTAATTCTCAACTCGGCTTAGACGTTGTAACGGGGTTACACGAACCCTAATAACAGGGGTGTGTGCGTGTCACAC